GGGGGGGGGGGGGGGGGGGGGGGGGGGGGGGGGGGTCTAGTTTTTTGCGTGTTTCCTTGCTTTTTAAGAAATTACATGTATTTTTTTAAAATCTGAAGTACCGTTTGCACGCTTCTTTGCGCCGCGTGGCATGCTTCTTGCAGGCTTGTTTTGCGTGGCGTTGCACGGGGTTCGCATGCAGCGAGCACGCCGTCGCAGGCTGCTTGCAGGCTGCAGCGCGCTCCTGGCGCGCTTTGCTGCAGGGCACGCCGCTCACAGAGGTGGTGGGGTTTTTTTGCATGCTCTTTGCATGCTGCTTCGCACTGTGCGGCACGCTGTTCGCCTGCTTTCTTGCATGTTGCAGGGCACTGCGTTTTTGTGTGCAGCTCGCATGAGTCTCTGCAGGGTGGCCCGCTTTTTGCATGCTTTCTTACGCGTGGCTGCATGCTGTGTGCAGGCTTTTCTTCGCATGCAGTCGGCACGAGTCCTTGCACACCATTGCACGCTGTTCACATGCTCGCAGTGTTTGCACTGTGTGGCACGCTGACATGCTGTGTGCAGGCTTTTCTTCGCATGCAGTCGGCACGAGTCCTTGCACACCATTGCACGCTGTTCACATGCTCGCAGTGTTTGCACTGTGTGGCACGCTGAGTCCATGCTTTCTTGCGTTCCTTTGCATGCTATTTCTAGGCTTGCTTACATGCTACTTCCTTGTTACGCATGGCAGTGCACTTTTGTTGCTGACTGAGCCCCATCCAGCCCCAAAGGGCCCTAGTTTTCCGTGCTGTAGTAGGGTGGGCACTTACACCCTTCCTGGTGGTACGTCTCAAAGAGAGGTAGAGCGGAGATGGCTCCGTGGCCTCTCCCCTTACTTTATTTGCGACACCGCTTGCTGGCAGCCCTCTGGCCGAGCGTCACTGGGCTGGCAGCTAAGCCCGGACTGTTAGAACGCCCTCCAGCTCCGGCCCTTCTCTCTGCAGACAGCCAGCAGCAGGTTACCAAGCACAGCCCAGCCGTGCCCAGCTCCGGCTGGGCTCCCAAGGAGGCCATGCAGGGAAGGGAGAGAAACAGCACAGGGAAAAAAAAAAAAACCCAAGCACTAATAATTCAGGTTTTCCCAGCTGTTTAAAACCCACCCAGCCGTGGTTGCAGGGCCGCCCGCGTTTCCTGCAGGGTTTTCTGCTTGGCTGGCCCATGCATTTGATGGATGCGATAAGACAGACTCCCTCGATGGCCTGGCAGGCGTGAATCCAGCCGGGGACGGTTTCCCTCCTCCACTGCCGTTTTTCCGGGCTGACCTCTGTATGGGCCATTTAAATTCCTGGTTTATGGCACTGCATGGGAATGGCCCTGAAGCCTTTGGCTGATGCCAGCTCCGGCACCCTTTGCCCGTGGCGGCTCCCGGCTGGCCCCGGCACAGGGACCTTTTTCTCCTG